GGACAAGGCTGCACACATATTTGATACCAGGGGATGTATTCACCAGTGAAATGCGTTGATTTGCAAAAACCTTGTAACATTTTAAGTTAAGTAGCATTTTGTTTTTCTTTTAGCTTTCTACTACACATATTCACCAAGGTGCTGAACTTTTTCAGGAGTTGGTTTGCTCTGTCATTCCTGCTAACAGTGTCTAGTGGTTTTTTCTTTAAATTAAACTTGATGTTTCCCTTTTAAAAAAAAAAAAAAAAGAAAGAAAACACATCCCTCCTGTGAGATTCTTTGCTGAATGCCAGAACAACACAATGCACTAGTTGTTATAGCATCTCTGTCCACCTCACAGAACTCCCTTCTAGCCTTATTTTTCTCTGTACCCTATTGAGCAGGATGAAGTGCAGATTGAAGTTGTTCGGCTAAGGTCTGTTAGGATTGTTGCGGCAACAACTCGGCTCATCACAGCTACTGAGGTCAGTCCAAGGCTCTGTTCAGGTCTCTGGTTCTGATAATGCTGGGCAAAGGTCAGACAGCACAATATTCTCTTTTTTTGGTCCTGGGAATGGAACTTACAACCTCACACTTGCCAGGCAAGCGCTGTGCCACTGAGCTATGTATGTCCTCAGCCCCACAATATCACTTATTCTCTTCAGATGCCAGTGTATATCACCGGAGTGACCAGTACGCAGAGTCCTTTCTCCTTCGGCAGTGCCAGCCCTGGGCTTACATTCCACTGGTCTCTGAGCAAAAGGGATGTCCTGGATCTAGCACCCAGGCACTCGGAGGTAGGAATTTATCCGTTCCTTGTACTACCCTGATGCTAAATGTGTTTCATCATAAGTTATTGACTAATTGGCTTACTTTTTTTCTTTTTTTAGATTCTGTAGTTCAGGCTGGCCTTGAATTCACTTTGTAGACCAGGCCGGTCCAGAACCTATGGTGATCCTCCTCCCTTAGCCTCCTAAGAGCTGGGATTACAGGCATGTGCCACTGTGCTGGGCCACTAACTTATTTGCTAAACAATATGATGCTTTTCCCTAATCTATACAATAGTATTGAGTCCTTTTCTATGTTCTTTGAGCTCTGGAAACCTGAAGATCACATGAAGAATTCAAATTTGAGTACTCAAATGATACTATATGATTTTTAATATTTCTTGCTAGAAAGAGCTCTCAAAAGCAATCTTTGGTGAGATGGCTCAGTGGTCTAAAGCACCTACTTAGAACAAGCTAAGCTAAGCAAAGCACAGGGACCGCGGTTCAATCCCCCAGCACCACATGC